TTTCAGGTGACCGGCCTTTTTGCAGCGAAAACATACCCTGGTTTCTTTGCTTTGTCTTATGCCTTCATGCACCTTCAGAGCTGCCTCTGGTCTCTCGTTCTCTTCACTATGCAAATTTTCCTTTCTTCTGCTGTATTCATCAATTAATTTTCCCTTAACATATTCTAGTGTCAGTTCAGTTTCCGGTCTAGTTTCTAGAGCATTTATAAGGGCACTGTATGATTCTGGAAGGCTGCACAGAAGTAGCGCCACAACATGGTTTCCTTTTATTTCTTTCCTATTGCACCCAGCTGGTCCACAATTTCTAGCATAGCATTTACATGTTCACCCATTTCCTGCCCTTTTTCCAGCCTCATCTTGTACAGTTTGCGCAGTAGATATAGTTTACTGTTTAGGTTTGCACGTTCATGCAGTCTTTGTAGTGCAGTCCACATACCTTTAGCTGTGCTTTCTTTCCTTATATGAATGAGTTGATCGTCCTCCACTAACAGGCTTATGACTGCTTTTGCTTGCCTGTTTTTTCTGTCCCATTCTTCCGGGTTGTCATTGGGTCTGTGTGTATCTAGTACCGGCCACAAGTCATCTTTGGATAACAGCATTTCAAGAATAAACTTCCATAGCTGGTAGTTGGTGTTGTTGAGCTTTGCTATTGTAAACTTCATATCTGAAGCACTTGCCATCTTTCAGTGAATTGGATTGTAAATGCAGCACTTACTTGCTTGTAGTTTTCCTTTTTCCAGTGTCTGGAGCTGGGCCCATAACCTGTTGGTTATGTGTTATAGAAGACACTGGTAGTGATAGCAGAATTCAGGCTTTACTTGTGTGGCTTAAGTTACAAACATACAGAGCACATTTCAGCAGACATATTACAGACACATTACTTCCTGAAGATGTGATAGAGAGAGAGAGGAACAAACAAGTTTTCAGATATACACAACTAGTAACCTTTAGTGTATAGTGCCATCTACTGGTCAAGTGATATTAACACACAATACTATATATAGTACATTATAGTACATGCTGTTTCATTCCCAACAGTAACCAGGGGCGGACTGACCATTTGGAAACTCGGGCACTGCCCGAGTGCCCGGGGTCAGTAGGGGGCCTCATGAGATGCCCCTGGTACCTTTTTCATAGACTTTTTTGAGTTTGGGCAAGGACACAGGGGCCCCATGATCCCCTTTTGCTTGGGGGCCCCATGAGTTGTCAGTCCGCCCCTGACAGTAACATTATACAACAGAGCAGGATTTTGTTGATATACACTAGTTTTGCACACAAGTTACATTTTTATTAATTCCTGTCTGTGACACTTGTATTAAAAGATAACACATTAATTTGAAGAAAGAAAGATCCTAGTGCATTCTGAGGCAGAATCTGTGTTGCATCATCTCATCTAACGAAAGAAGTCAACAATCGTTGAATACACAACTCAGTGTTGACTTACTATGCTGGCGTGGTCAATCATTTGTGGGCATACGCTTTCACTACTTAAAGAGAAACAACCTCATTCTCACAAACCTGAAAGTACAGTTGTGCTTGATATTTATTGATGCCATCTTTGCCTAAATGTAACTGGGACTTTACAGCCCCCAAAGTTCTCCGTATGCTGCTTCTGGGTTAGTGACATCAGTGGAAATGGACTTGAGGGTGCTCAGCTTCAAATTCCTGAAGGTGGCTTTCTCAAAGGCTAAAGTCATTTCATAACTTTATTTGTCTGTCTATGTATAATTAGCATTTTTAAAAACATTTTTTGCAATACGGTGCTGCATTACTTTAACAATGACAATTGTGCGGTCATGCAACGCTGCACTCAAAAGAAATGTACGTCCTTTTTTTCCCACAAATAGAGCTTTCTTTCTGTGGTATTTGATCGCCTGTGCGTGTTTTATTTTTTGCGCTATAAAGCAAAAAGACCAACAATTTTGAATTAAAAAAAACTATATTTTTTACTTTTTTCTATAAAACTTGTCCAGTAAAAAAATTTTCAAAAATCAAATTTCATAAATTTTAGGCCAAAATGTACTGTGCTACATGTCTTTGCTAAAAGAAAATCCCAATACGTGTAAATTAATTGGATTACGTGAAAGTTATAGTGTCTATACAGTATACTGAAATTTCTTTTTATTAGTAATTGCAGGACTGCGGCGGGCATTCTGACAATGGGTGGGAACTGACTAACTGCCACTGACATCCTAATGACACCAATACAATGATCAGTGCTAATAAAAAGCACTGACACTGTACTAATGACACTGGGCAGGAAGAGGTTAACATCTGGGGCTATCAAAGAGTTAACTGTGTGCTATGTGTGTTTTATTGTGTGTGCTGTGTATGTTTTACTAGGGAAACATGCTGCTGTGTATTTCTCTGCTGTGCAGAGAAATACACAGCCCTGTGGCAGTATTTCGGCTATAGTGCAGAGGGCAATTGGTTAAGCAAAGCTTGAGAAAGGTGGATAGGGTGGTAAATGTATAAACTATGCTTATCATTAGCATCCACAGCAGCTTAACCTAATGTTAAATATAATACATCAGTCTCTTTGGCAGTATGTAGACCAGGGGTGGGCAAATAATATTCCCAAGGGGCCACTTGAGAAACTGGGACTGTTGTGGAGGGCTCAATAATAATTTTGAACCTGGAAAGGTCTGTAAGTACATGTAGAAAACGGATTGAAAACAAACACCTGGTGCTTAGAATTAGAGATGAGCGAATCGAACATGGCGAAGTGGAATTCGTTTCGAAGATCAGGAAAAATTCGATTTGCGCCGAATCCGAAAATTAGCAAACTTTGGATGCACGAATCGAATTTTCCCAAAAATGGCGGCGACATGTGTGGCGACGGAGCGGGGATCTCTGGGAAGGCGCGCAGACAAGGCGCGCTGACCCATAATGCATTCATTCATGACGTGATCGCATTAGCCAATCAGCAGCCAGCCAGCCAGCACTGTGTAATGGTGGAGCTATAAATTGCGGCCATCTTACAATTCTCCATTAGCCTCCGGTCATTCAAGAGAGACAGACCTGTCTGTATTAGGGACAGAGTTAGGGCCAGAGAGACTTTAGGGCCACAGAATCGTTACTTAGGGACACAGAATCGTTACTCAGGGACACAGAATTGTTACTTAGGGACACAGAATTGTTACTCAGGGACACAGATTCGTTACTCAGGGACAGACACAGAATTGTTACTCAGGGACACAGAACTGTTACTGAGGGACACAGAATTGTTACTCAGGGACACAGAATTGTTACTCAGGGACACAGAATCGTTACTCAGGGACACAGAATTGTTACTCAGGGACACAGAATTGTTACTCAGGGACAGACACAGAATTGTTACTCAGGGACACAGAATTGTTACTCAGGGACACAGAATTGTTACTGAGGGACACAGAATCGTTACTCAGGGACACAGAATCGTTACTCAGGGACACAGAATTGTTACTGAGGGACACAGAATCGTTACTGAGGGACACAGAATCGTTACTCAGGGACACAGAATCGTTACTCAGGGACACAGAATCGTTACTCGGGACACAGAATCGTTACTCGGGACACAGAATCGTTACTCAGGGACACAGAATTGTTACTCAGGGACACAGAATTGTTACTCAGGGACACAGAATCGTTACTCAGGGACAGACACAGAATTGTTACTCAGGGACACAGAATTGTTACTCAGGGACACAGAATCGTTACTGAGGGACACAGAATTGTTACTGAGGGACACAGAATTGTTACTCAGGGACACAGAATTGTTACTCAGGGACACAGAATTGTTACTCAGGGACAGACACAGAATTGTTACTCAGGGACACAGAATTGTTACTCAGGGACAGACACAGAATTGTTACTCAGGGACACAGAATTGTTACTCAGGGACACAGAATTGTTACTGAGGGACACAGAATCGTTACTCAGGGACACAGAATCGTTACTCAGGGACACAGAATCGTTACTCAGGGACACAGAATCAGTACTGAGGGACACAGAATCGTTACTGAGGGACACAGAATCGTTACTCAGGGACACAGAATCGTTACTCAGGGACACAGAATTGTTACTCAGGGACACAGAATTGTTACTCAGGGACACAGAATCGTTACTCAGGGACACAGAATTGTTACTGAGGGACACAGAATCGTTACTGAGGGACACAGAATCGTTACTCGGGGACACAGAATTGTTACTCGGGGACACAGAATTGTTACTCGGGGACACAGAATCGTTACTCGGGGACACAGAATCGTTACTCGGGGACACAGAATTGTTATTCAGGGACACAGAATCGTTGAATTAAAGAGTATGTCAGACAACACGCAGAGGAGTGGCAGAGGAGGCAATGTTTCAGGAGCGAGCAGACGTGGCAGCAGAGGAAGGGGTCGAGGCAGCACTAGTCGCAGCCAGAGGCCAGTGCTCCCGGTGTCATCCAGCGATCGTGTCTCCACCGACAACCCTGTCGTCATCGATTGGTTGGCTCGGTCGTCTTCCTCTTCCCAGGTCACCTCTGACACCTACAGCCAACGGTCGGTGGGTACGTCAGACACAACCGTTAGTTGGCATGGCCCGGGAGCAAGCCCACTGATATCACGTGTCCTCTACCTGCCCCTGTCCTTTGGTGTTCCCTCACCAAGCGAAGTATCGCATGCTGTGGGCTCAGCCCCACTGTACAGTGAGGAAGAGCTAACAGAGGGCGGTCAGGAACGGGGGGAGACATCCGCCTCTTCAGCAGCCAGACGAAGAAGTACTGGCGAGGAGAGTGGCTCGGTAGCCGGTCTAGAGACAGGTCTGTCTCCTGACCCACACGCCTCCTCATGCTGCTGCCAGGTCCAGAGTGTGTCATGGGTCCCTGTACGGCCTCCCATTGCTGCTGTCTCCATCGCCACACTCTGCCATGTGCCACTTTCAGGTCTCCTCACACTGCTGGTGGGTTCCATTTTGTCATAGGGTGCTGGCAGATTACGGGCCTCCCATTGCTGCTGCCAGGCCCGTAATCTGCCATGGGCCCCCGTACCGACTCCTCATGCTGCTGCCAGGCCCGTAGTCTGTCATGGGCCCCTGTACCGCCTCCTCATGCTGCTGCCAGGTCCAGAGTGTGTCATGGGTCCCTGTACGGCCTCCCATTGCTGCTGTCTCCATCGCCACACTCTGCCATGTGCCACTTTCAGGTCTCCTCACACTGCTGGTGGGTTCCATTTTGTCATAGGGTGCTGGCAGATTACGGGCCTCCCATTGCTGCTGCCAGGCCCGTAATCTGCCATGGGCCCCCGTACCGACTCCTCATGCTGCTGCCAGGCCCGTAATCTGTCATGGGCCCCTGTACCGCCTCCTCATGCTGCTGCCAGGTCCAGAGTGTGTCATGGGTCCCTGTACGGCCTCCCATTGCTGCTGTCTCCATCGCCACACTCTGCCATGTGCCACTTTCAGGTCTCCTCACACTGCTAGTGGGTTCCATTTTGTCATAGGGTGCTGGCAGATTACGGGCCTCCCATTGCTGCTGCCAGGCCCGTAATCTGCCATGGGCCCCCGTACCGACTCCTCATGCTGCTGCCAGGCCCGTAATCTGTCATGGGCCCCTGTACCGCCTCCTCATGCTGCTGCCAGGTCCAGAGTGTGTCATGGGTCCCTGTACGGCCTCCCATTGCTGCTGTCTCCATCGCCACACTCTGCCATGTGCCACTTTCAGGTCTCCTCACACTGCTGGTGGGTTCCATTTTGTCATAGGGTGCTGGCAGTTTACGGGCCTCCCATTGCTGCTGCCAGGCCCGTAATCTGCCATGGGCCCCCGTACCGACTCCTCATGCTGCTGCCAGGCCCGTAATCTGTCATGGGCCCCTGTACCGCCTCCTCATGCTGCTGCCAGGTCCAGAGTGTGTCATGGGTCCCTGTACGGCCTCCCATTGCTGCTGTCTCCATCGCCACACTCTGCCATGTGCCACTTTCAGGTCTCCTCACACTGCTGGTGGGTTTCCATTTTGTCATAGGGTGCTGGCAGATTACGGGCCTCCCATTGCTGCTGCCAGACCCGTAATCTGCCATGGGCCCCCGTACCGACTCCTCATGCTGCTGCCAGGCCCGTAATCTGTCATGGGCCCCTGTACCGCCTCCTCATGCTGCTGCCAGGTCCAGAGTGTGTCATGGGTCCCTGTACGGCCTCCCATTGCTGCTGTCTCCATCGCCACACTCTGCCATGTGCCACTTTCAGGTCTCCTCACACTGCTGGTGGGTTCCATTTTGTCATAGGGTGCTGGCAGATTACGGGCCTCCCATTGCTGCTGCCAGGCCCGTAATCTGCCATGGGCCCCCGTACCGACTCCTCATGCTGCTGCCAGGCCCGTAATCTGTCATGGGCCCCTGTACCGCCTCCTCATGCTGCTGCCAGGTCCAGAGTGTGTCATGGGTCCCTGTACGGCCTCCCATTGCTGCTGTCTCCATCGCCACACTCTGCCATGTGCCACTTTCAGGTCTCCTCACACTGCTGGTGGGTTCCATTTTGTCATAGGGTGCTGGCAGATTACGGGCCTCCCATTGCTGCTGCCAGGCCCGTAATCTGCCATGGGCCCCCGTACCGACTCCTCATGCTGCTGCCAGGCCCGTAATCTGTCATGGGCCCCTGTACCGCCTCCTCATGCTGCTGCCAGGTCCAGAGTGTGTCATGGGTCCCTGTACGGCCTCCCATTGCTGCTGTCTCCATCGCCACACTCTGCCATGTGCCACTTTCAGGTCTCCTCACACTGCTGGTGGGTTCCATTTTGTCATAGGGTGCTGGCAGATTACGGGCCTCCCATTGCTGCTGCCAGACCCGTAATCTGCCATGGGCCCCCGTACCGACTCCTCATGCTGCTGCCAGGCCCGTAATCTGTCATGGACCCCTGTACCGCCTCCTCATGCTGCTGCTAGGTCCAGAGTGTGTCATGGGTCCCTGTACGGCCTCCCATTGTTGCTGCCAGGCCCGTAATCTGCCATGGGCCCCCGTACCGACTCCTCATGCTGCTGCCAGGCCCGTAATCTGTCCATGGGCCCCTGTACCACCTCCTCATGCTGCTGCCAGGTCCAGAGTGTGTCATGGGTCCCTGTACGGCCTCCCATTGCTGCTGTCTCCATCGCCACACTCTGCCATGTGCCACTTTCAGGTCTCCTCACACTGCTGGTGGGTTCCATTTTGTCATAGGGTGCTGGCAGATTACGGGCCTCCCATTGCTGCTGCCAGGCCCGTAATCTGCCATGGGCCCCCGTACCGACTCCTCATGCTGCTGCCAGGCCCGTAATCTGTCATGGGCCCCTGTACCGCCTCCTCATGCTGCTGCCAGGTCCAGAGTGTGTCATGGGTCCCTGTACGGCCTCCCATTGCTGCTGTCTCCATCGCCACACTCTGCCATGTGCCACTTTCAGGTCTCCTCACACTGCTGGTGGGTTCCATTTTTTCATAGGGTGCTGTATGGCCTCCCATTGCTGCTGCCTCCACCGCCACACTGTGGCTCCACACTCTGGTTTTGGCCCCGTGACTGCCCAAATGAGTGAAGTGTGCGGTGATTCTAAGATCGACGGCACTCATCTGCATGTCATATTGACTGACAGTATTATTTCTCTTCCCCAGCAGACTCCAAGGGCATTTAAATTAAAGGTACAGTGTTCTGCACTAATATAAAGGCTCTCTGAAGCCTAGAAACACCCTTTTTATAAGTTAAATTCGCAGCGAATATATTCGACTCCTCTCTACTTAGAATGATAGGTACAACTGCTCATGTAGTTTCTTTCAGATGGTCAGGGGTGGTAAAAACAGTTTTACTGTGCCCTCTGGCTGCCCACTCCAACTGTAAAATAACAGCCAAATGGGGCTGTTCTCATGCTTTGCTTCATAGCATGGCATGCAGCATATTTAACTTGGGGTGCCGTACCACTTGTCAAATTTGCCTATTGAGTTCATTGAGAAAGTTGAAAGGCTCAGAGAGGCATGCTGACAGTGGAGGCATCAGGGAAAGCCAAAGAGCTGGATGTGGATCATATTATCTTGATATTTTTGGGTCAGGTTTTGCTTTCAAATTGTATATCAGCCTGGAACTCTGTATAATAGTCTCTTTACTGAGTCTTTTATACAAGTCAAGTCCTTTGCCTGAAATACATGGGGCATTTCTTTCTATGTAAGAGTCCTGTAACCATACAGTATTTTCTGGTAAGATCCTTTTGCCCTATTATCCTTTTATTATATGATGTTGTATGACTAGATATTTGCACTAACTCCAGCTAAAACAAATGTTTCTTTTCAGCTTTGTCCAATTAAAGTGATAGTAAAGGCAATTAAAAAAAAAAACAACAAACATGTTACATACTTACATGTTCTATGCAATGGTTTTGCACAGAGGAGCCCCAATCCTCCTCTTCTTAGGTCCCCCACCAGTGCTCCTGGCTCATCCCCCCGCTTGATATGGGGGCACCCAAGCAGGCTTGCTCCCATGCAGCTGCTCTTTGTGTCCATTCACAAACAGAGCACCCCCTCTCTCTCTTCATTGGTTCACTGACTATGACTGACAGCAGCTCCCACTGCTGTCTCAGCCTATGAGGAGGAAGAGTCCCCAGAGAGCCAAGACTCTCTTGCATATCGCTGGATCGCAGTGGGGCTCAGGCAAGTATTAGGGCTGGCTGGAAGGACTTCTGCACACAGAAGGTTTTTTTTACCTCTGTTCATAGACTGCATGAAGGTATAAAAACCTTAAGCCTTTACAACCACTTTAAGTTTTGGCTGGATTTTGGGTTTATTATATGCTATGTCTGCTGCTGTAGTGGCTTCTGTTTCTTTAACAACAATACATTTAAATGTTATTATTATATTCTGTTTCAGGCTCCACATGATGGTAAAAAAAAACAAAGAACAAAAGCTAAAAAGTGGAATGGAAAGCATAGAAACTCATAAAACACCTCGCTCATCTGGTAATTTTAAATATCTACCATTTTTGTAGGACCATATTCCAAAGAGGAAAAGGAGAAAAAATATTTATGATATGCAGTATTCATCACCAACATGTATATAAAACATTAAATTTTGTATTGTCTCAAAAAAAAAAAAAAAAAAAAAAAGAAGGAAAAAGAAGAAGTTTCTGACATTCACATGATGACATTTACAGCTTTATTAGACCATAGAGGAAAGGCCAATTACAGTCTCATAATTACTATATGCCATACATGTCCTGATTTTCATCGAACATGTTTCCTGGAACAAAATCTTCTTTTTCAATCCTACATATTCAGTTCAAACAGTGAAGATGCTCTTATGAGAAAGTAAATGTATAATATAAATTTCCAATACATATTGTTTAATAATTTCATGTATCTATGCCATAGGATACATGGACAAACCTGATGTAAATGATTCTCATTTGTCATTTGAATATATCTAATGCTCTGTGAATGTGACACTTATTAAAAGCAAACTATAGAAGGACATATGATCATGTTCATGATATAAGAGATGGAGATTACACTCCCCAGTTGCACTTCATTGTCCTTGTAATCATGGATATGCTTTGGTCAAAGCTAAATTGTTTGATATTCCAAAACAGAGGTGTATATCCTGGTAGGTTGTTGCTACAATCAGAATGTAAAAGGATATACATTCTAATGATCCAACGGATCAAATTCAAAATGCTAACACTGACGTACAAAGCTGTCCGTAATACTGCCCCAAACTACATCACCGACCTAATATCCAAATACCACCCAAAACGCACTCTCCACTCCTCACAAGACCTCCTTCTCTCTAGTTCCCTGGTCTCCTCCTCCCATGCCCGCCTCCAGGACTTCTCCAAGGCATCACCCATCCTCTGGAACTCCCTACCCCAATCCATCAGACTATCACCTACTCTCCTCTCCTTTAGGCGCACCCTGAAAACCCACCTCTTTAGGGAAGCCTACCCCACCCTCTGCTAATTGCCGATCTCCTCCACTCTTCCTACCACTCCATCCCCCAAAGCTTTTCCTCCTGTACCACTATCCCCTCCCTCCTAGATTGTAAGGAGCAGGGCCCTCGAACCCCTTGTGTATTGCATTGTATTATTATTGTACTGTCTCATGTATTGTCTCCTATTGTAATGTACAGCGCTGAGCGAACTGTTGGCGCTTTATAAATACTGTATAATAATAATAATATATACAGTAGGTTAAAAACTATAGAATATTTAATACTTAGAATCTTATTCTAATAAGAAACGTATTAGTTTATGCATATATCCTGATATACAGTGTATATAAAAAGTATTTTTTTGTTTTACGTGAAAGCTATAGCGTTTAAAAATGGCGGTATATATACTGGGATTTAATTTTTTTATTTTTAACAGTAATAGCATTTATCAGCGACTTATAGCAGGACTGCAGCGGGCATTCTGACACTGGGGGGAACTTATTTGGTGTCACTGACATCCCCAGTGACACCAATACAATAATCAGTGCTAATATAAAAAGCACTGACACAGTACTAATGGCACTGGGCAGGAAGGGGTTAACATGTGGCGTGATCAAGGGGTTAACAGTGTGCTGTGTGCTGTTTTATTAGGGGCTGT